GTCCATGGAGTGCAAGGGGGCTGTATGTTTCATGTTCAGTGCCTGAGAGCTCTGGTTTCATGGGGCTGCAGTTTGTATGATTTGGGTTGTTTTGTTTCCTTAAATGCAGGCAACATATTGCTGAACGTCCTGATCCCACCCAACATGCCGTGCACCCGGACCGGGAAGAACAACGTGCTCATCGTCTGCGTGCCCAACCCCCCCCAGGACGAGAAGAACGCCGCCGCCCCGTGACCATGCTGATCCGGGTCAAAACCAGCGAGGACGCGGACGAGCTGCACCAAGTCCTCCTGGGGAAGAAGGACGCCTAGCCCCGCCCCCCTTAGTCAGGTTTCTTCTTCCGTTGACGTTCTGAGAACTTTTAGATAACTTACAGCCTGTGAGCAAGATTAATATGGCCAATAAACCTTTAATGTTTAGTGTTAAGAACTGTCTAATGTGTAAACTACATTTGAAAGAAATTTTGGTATTTTTAATGTTCATTTATTAAATTAACCACAAGTGATTTCTTAATGGACTGAAATCAGGGTAATGATCGGATTTCCCAAAGCTTTTTCCACCCGTGGGTTTGGGCGAGGCTCCCGAGGGTGGGTGTCCAGAGGAGCCTGGCCCTCCCGCCCAGTGGGCGAGGCTGGGCCGTGGGGACAGCGCCCCTCCCAGGTGAAGCGCTGCCCTGCTGGCAGGGGTGTGCTTGCTTTAAGTGTTCTTCTAACGCTGCAGCGCGGGTCCTGAAGGTCACCCTCTGCCGGGCCACTCAGCAGACGTGGCCTTGCCCCTGCAGGCTGCTGGGCAGGACCCAGAACTGCTTTTCTTTTTACAGGAAACAAGGACTCGTTCTTTAGTTGTGGAGTGTGATTCATGAGGTGCTGTTACTTCTGTGTCCCCTCATGACACATGGTTAAGGGGGGTTGCCAGGGATGAGATTTAAAAGCACAAATTTGGTCGCTTATACTTTGTAAATCATCCTACAGCAGAAAGTGAATGTGCTTGTACCACGCGAGCCCTGTGGGTCTACAACTACCTACTGCTTAAGCCCTAGGAGCTTTTATTAGGCACGAGCCTTGTGAATCCACCAGGAAAGGGAGGGGAGAGCGTGTGTGTAAATGTTGCCTTTACCTTGGACGCCAGGATGTTCCATATTCCCATCAAGTTCCAGTTCCTTTCTGAGTGAGGTTGTTCAGGATGCCCCGGGGAGGGGAGTGCCGTGGGCACAGGCGTGCCGCGCTGCTTCCCCACGGCTGTCGGTAGCTCACGCCAGCTTCCCTCAGACAGCACGTGAGAGACGGGCTTTGTAGGTGGACATGCCCGTGTTCCCGGCTCTGTTAGCGCCGGCATCAGGCGAACTTGTTTAAGGCTCGATTGGTGCCTGAGGGCTCACACTGTATGTTCTGACCTTCAGCACATCTTCTGACTTAGAAAAGAGGAGTCAAATAATTGTAGATAGTGTGGTTGTTTTTTCTAAAAAACAAGCTACAATTTTTAGATGTAAAGGGGGCGGGGAAACATGATCAAATATAGTAAATATGGGAGGCCAGGTGGCTGGACCAATGTTTGCCATGAGATTCCTGCACTGCTCTGTTTGTTAACACTTGGAGTGGGGGAAACGAGTCGGCTCGCGTGAATTGCGCGTACTCCGCGGGAGCCGTCTTTAACTCGGTTCATATAGATTTGCGGTGGAGTGCGGGAAACGTGTAAACTCGGGCCGATTGTAACTGCGTATTACCAAATATTTGTTTGTAATCCACCCTTTTGGTGGATGGAACAAAACCAAAAGACAGAGCCATCTTATATTTTGGCGGGAAATTCACCCCACACCGGAGTGTTAACTGCACGGGCGCGTCGGCCAGGGTGACGGGATGAACGCGCAGACAGGCGTGCTTGCTGTGATGGATGTGGGCCAGCTCGTCTCCTGCGACCCAGGCAGAAGCAACAGTGGTTTTTGCATTTACTGCTTAGAATTGAGATTACTCATGTGCTCTGGTTACAGATGATTGATAATAAACAAGCTGTTTATTATTGATGCTGTAACAGTGGTCCTGCCCCTGCCCCTGCCCCTGCCCTGGGCACATAGGGTTCTCTGTGTATCCAGCTGTCAGAAGGATGAGGAAGTACAGGGAGTGCACATCGATCTGTTACAGCCTGGCCACACGTGCTCCGGGGCCCCGCCCGGAACAGCGGAGTCAGCAGGGAACCTGGTGGTCATGGTGCATCGTTGTTAGCTTTTTTTTTTTTTTTTAAGTTTGGATCATAATTTTAATCGTTAGCTTTTGTGTGACTGGCGAGATGCGCAACAGAAGGGGCACGGGAACACCTGTGGAGGTGGTTGGCCTACGTCTTTCAAACCAGTGATGGCTACGTGTGCTTCTCCTAACATTCCCAGCAAATTCTTGCTGCTAAGACTCACTGTTAAAGTGAAAATTACAGGGAAAAATGTGATGTGTGTACCATAACTCAAAATGTGATATTTTCTTACAATTCTTACGCTTTAGGAACTTGTTGGTCTCCACTTTAAACAGGTGCTGGGTACCGGCGCCTGGGAACGTGCGGATTTCACTGTAACCCGACCTCCTCGCGTGTGGCCTGGGGAGGCTCGCCTTTCCTCCTCATTGTGGGACAGCTACACCCTTCCCGTGCGGTCATGCTCATCTTTAACAAAGTGTTAGAAATGAGTCTTTAAAATGTTTAAATGTGGACTGAAATGTTCATTTTTGGTATAAGAACCTATAAAGTGTATTATGTATGTGGCCTACAGTTAGTGTGTGTATCTTTCGTTCTGAATCAGGTATTGTTGCATCTTGACAAATGCTGAGCATCCCAGCGGCCTTTTCCACACGGGTGTGTCTTTCTCAGCCTTTTGAGCCTCCCCAGTAGGCGAAACACCGCTGTGGGCTCCTTCATTGTTAGACTTACAGACGGAAGATGTGTGTCCAGGTGTTTTTTTAATTTCAGAGAGAGGAAGGGAGAGGGAGAGAGATAGGAACATCAATAATAATAGAAAATCATTGATTATCAAGCCCAAAACCCAGGCACATGCCCTGACCAGCAGAAATACTGTGATCTCTTGGTTCATGGGTCCACACGCAACCACTGAGCCACACCGGCCGGGAGCATCCAGGCTTTAAAGAAGTTTAGGTTGTGTTTCCTGGGAAGAACGAGTCCGACTGTTTAGGAACTGGTTTTCTTTAAAAGGATGGCCGTTTTACAACTTTACTCCAGATCCTATTTTTGATGCGCTGCATGCCAGAATACCTACCTACTATCGCATCTTGCTCTTAGTTCGGGCCAGTGCTCACTGAGAAAGATGGGGGGGTGTTTGGGGGCATCTGTCAGTCATTCTGGAACAGCCCACATGCAAGCGCGGTGCACTCGAGGCTTCGTACACCAAGCGGCTCCCAGCCCCGTGTCCATTCTCCTTCTGAAAGTGAGAAATGGACAAGCTTTCAAGGAGAAACGGGGTTGTCCTGTGCTGCCCGCAGGGACAGGGAGCCTCTTGGCAAACTGGTCTCAGCCCCGCGCTGAGCACAAGGCGCTGGAAAGTACTTGGCCTTGGACGGAGACTCTCCCAGACCAATTGTAACGGAGATGAAAGCTTCCTTCTTAGCAATCAGGTGGATACATTGTTTGCTTTCTATTTTAAGTAGGAAACGTTTTTAAATACTTGAATTGTCGGCCCATGTAATCCGTTTGTGTTAGTTTTTGAATGATCCCATTGAGGACTTGTAACAATCCACGAAATGTGAATAAATGGAGAGGAAACAACATCCGTGTTTGACATTCCATGTTCCTTCTCGACGCACCTGGCACTAATACAGGGCACGAGAGCAGAGGGGTCTGCAGCGTGGGGAGGGGGGGGGGCGCGGTGCTGCTGCAGAGCTGGGGGGGCCTGCAGAGCCCCACCCAGAGCCTCCTGCTTGGAGGGAGACGGAAGTTACCAGGCCCGAGGCCACTCCCACGAGGCCTGGAGTAGCTCCGGGACTGCTGTGGGAGCTGTGCCCGGCCTTCTCCGAGCACCTGGTCTGGTCCTCACAGCAGGCCTCCCGCCCTTGGCCTGGGTGGGTTTCCAAAGGAACGAGTTCAGGCAGCTTCAGTTTCTCGCAGATAAGCCAGTGGAGCGGGGATCCGTGTTCAGATCCGTCTCAGTCAAAAATCCGAGCTCTTCAGGACATTTTAAAACTAAGGATCAAAATGATCAAGAAAAAGTAACGCTTTGAGTTTATGGAACTGTAGATTTTTGGTGCTTTAGAAAATCACTATTAAGGCATTGACAAGACTAGTATTTGGAGTCAGGCTCCTGTCTTTTCCAGCCCCCGGAGTTGCTCAGCACTTGGCCGGCCTGGAGGAGATGTGCCCTGGGAAAGAGAACCGTCAGTGCTTTCCCTGAACCCGCAGCAGCTCCCGGGGACTGTGCTGGCTCTCGGCTGAGGGCTGGGCAGGACAACGGTCTCTAGTGTGGCCCTGGGTGCTCGGCTGCCCCGAGGGCCTCAGACACCTGGGGACCCAGACTCAGAGCCGGGCGGGGGCCAGCTTGTCTCCTGTTGATGTAACTCGCATCTATAAAATCCACTCTGTGTACAGTTCAGCCGTGTTTAGTATATTCACAGAGCCATGCAACCATCATACCAGCTCATTCCAGAATATTCTCTGGGTTTTAATAAGTGGTTCTGATACAGGCTCCGATTTGAGAACCCTGGGCTACATCTGTGCTCCCTCGTGATGTGTTTGAAGATAACCTGTGGCACACCCTCCGGGCACATTCCAGCGGGGGGACTGGCAGAGCTATGGCAGCCCTGGTACAGGTCACACGTGAACTTTGGTGGCTGGCGATTTTGCTTCTCAGGGAAGCCCAGCCCAGGATGAGACAACGGCCCACAGGGTTGGATGCAGCTTGAAGCAGGAGGGGCCAGACCCGCACGGCTCATCAAAGGGCTCCACTGGGTTGGTTTCTGGAATTGAATTGTTTACCCAAAATATAATCATTAAAGTTCACTTAACAACCATGGTTATTTCAAACAGAGCAATCTGATGGTTTTATTCAAGTTAGATTCCAAGATGAAAGACCATAACCCACATACAGGGGAGAGAGAACTTGTTAAACCTGTTAGCTCATGTGGAGGCCAAGTTGGGAGGGAATTCAACACAAGGCTGTAGGCAAAAGACAAGACATCCCGTTACCATCCCCGAAACAAAGACCTTCCTTCCTCACACGAGTTTCCCAGGCTCCTGTTGTTTTAACAACCAAGCACAGAGTACAATGCGTTTACACATCACCACGTCTAGTCTATACACAATGGCCGTGGGGTCGGATGGGCCATTTCACGTTCCCCCTCCTCCCAGTGTAACATTCCCAAAGGTTTCCCCTCGTTACTGTGTTTTCTAGGCAGGGGCATGAGTGGTTCCTAGAAGTCCATCTAGGTCAGCATTTACCGCAAGGGATCCAGAGTCGGCGATACATAGCAAAGAGGTCCACGTAGCTTCCCGGGGAGACTTTCTCCAGCTGAACGTTTTCAGGTGACTGCTTAAAGGGACCTAATTATTTACCGGTTTGATCTGTGTGGCGAGGGCGTCGTTTTAACCCACCGAGCTGCCTCTTCCGTAACCACCGTCTCGTAGTCTGCCCAGGTGATGCCGGTGCACAGTTCTGGCTCAGCTGTTCCTAGCAGTTCCCAGGTGTCACCTGGATGTGCTGCCCTTACTATTTCTAGTGTGTGTGCCTCAGACCCCCTTTTGCTAGTCTAGAACCTTCTGCAGTGTCCTAGGCCTTATGTACACCCAAGGCATCATGACAGCCTTCGTCTGACCATGGAAAGGGAAAGAGAGCCCCTTGTGAGAACGACTCGGGCTGCTTCCATCCATGATGAACTTGCAATAAACAGGCCACGGCAGTTAGCGAAACGGGGCCACGTGCTCACCGTCAGCTTGAGTCATCGCAGAGCAAGGCAACAGAGAGCCGGTGGCCAAAGACCAGCTTCCACAAGACCAGGGGGCTGGTGCGAGCCCGCCACCTCCGGGGCTGGTGAGGAGGCGCAGCCGGAAACTTGACAGCACACTCAAGGTTGTCTACTTCCCGGGGCTGAGCGCCGAGGCTGAGACGCAGCTCTTGGATTTAATTTTGCAAACACAGCATCTGACTCAACCACAGCGGCGGCCGCCCCCTGGCCGACCCGAGGACAGCGAGGCCCTGCAGGGGTGGTTTCTGTCAGTCCCCGGCAACAGGTCAAAAATGTAGCTGTGTCAGGACTCCAAACAGTAAGAAATCTTTGGGGGGCAAAAGAAGGTTTAATCACTGTTACCACATTGCTGTAATAGCTGCATTTCATCTGAAATACCCTCGTAGAGAAAAAAATTACTAGGTACAAGTTCGGTAGAGGAAGACACGGAGAAAAAATAAATGTAATATTCACCATGCAACCAACTTCCAAGAGGAACGCAGCCTCGTGAGCACAGCGGAGAGCCACGCGAGCACGGCGTAGACGGGGCCTCCGCGGAACGCAGACGCCGCTGACCGGAAGCCGCTGACGATCCCACCTGAAGGTGTTCAGTGCGTGTCGCCGAGTGCTTTTGCAGAAATCACTTTAGTTACGGCTTCAAAGTGAAAAATCTCCACAGGTTTCCTGCGGGTCTCAGCAGAGAACTTGTTCGGAAAGCACAGGAGATAGATTTACACCCACATCGCCCCACCTTCTGTGACGGGAGGCCCAAAGGGCAAGAAGGTGAGGGGCGGCTGCGCGTCCTACACTCAGTGGGTTTGGGATCTGCTGAGCTCCAGGCGGGACCGCGGCTGTAAGCACTTCCTAGTGTGAGGCTCTACCCGCTGCAGAACTCCACCGACCCCAGGCCACTCGGTGGTCAAGTGATTTGGCTTCTGCGTGTGGTGCTCCAAGTTCTCCAGGGCCGAGTCAGGGCAGGAGGCTTCTCTCCATGAGGGTCAAGTCCATGCCAAGTCCATAAGGGAAAGGGAAGAGGAAGTGACAGCGCACACCTTCCTCCACTCCCAGGCCGTCTCCGTCTGGAACTCCTGCTGCCAGGGCGGCCGCTGACGCTGACGCTGCCGAAGGCGGTGCGAGCTCCCGGGCAGGGGCAGCCAGCACTGCATTGTCATGTCTCGGGCTGTGTCCTACTGGGTGGGTTTTTAAAGGGAAGTTTGTTTTCTGGTTGCAAGACGAGAGAAAGCCTGAGCAGGAAGTCAATGTCATGTCAACAGATACTGGTTTAGGAAACTGAATATAAAACTAAATTCTGGCTAAATTGGAAAACTGAACTATATATATATCCCCAAAATGTATACACATTTCAACAGCTGCTAGCTCATGTTTCTTTTCAGATTTAACCCATTGGAATGAATAATTATTCCAAGTGTGTATACATTTTTTTGAGACAACTTGTATGTATGTATGAAACCTATTAAGTTTCATTAAAAAGCTAGCAGATTTGTAATATGTAAGCCTTTAAAGGATTTTGGCCGATTTAAAACCACCATATTATGACAATGTCAAATAGATTTTTCAAGTCATTAGAATATACTAACTGCATAGGGACTACCCCGTGGAATGTGTTTTAATGGAAACAATCTTTTATTTCATTCTTAAAATGCCTTCTAACTACCCCCGGCCAGGGTGGCTCAGTTGGCTGGGCATGTCCCATGCACTGAAAGGTTGCCAGTTCAATTCCCGGTCAGGGCACATGCCCGGGTTGTGGGCTTGATTAATGTGACACGTAGGTTTCTTCAAAGAAAAACTGGACTTTTGATTCCAAGTCCCATTCAAGAAGTTTATGCACACGTTGTCATCCCTGCATAACACGCGACAGGCGTGTCCCCAGAAAATTAAAGATGGCCTTACAAGTAAAGATGGACCCACACCCAGACCCACGGGGACGGGTTCTGGTCCTGTCACTTGTGCCTGTTATTGGTTACTGATGCCATTTGTCACTTGGAGAAATCAAACCTCGGCGTAACAGCTCACTGCGCAGCCATCAAGCACCTCGGAGCAGGTTTTCAGTCCAGTATCACAGGACCTTTGGGATTTAAAGACGAAGGTCAGCTCCACCAAACATCCGTCCATCTGTCCTGGCAGCGGTGTCGGGGCTCAGTGCGGACTGGGGCGAAGCCGAGGTGGCCTCCTGCCCGCCATGCTTGCGGTCAATCTTGGGTGGTCACTTCACCTCTGGCGGTTTCCTCATCGGTAAGATGGGACAAGGACACGACGTGCAGGTGCTGCCTACGTGTTGGATGCAGAACAGCCAACCGCGGAGTGCTGTTCCCGGGCTGCACACGAGGTGTGAGCTCTCGAAGCCCAGCCGGCACGTGACCCCGCTGCCAGCAAGTGTCTGAGTTCCGTGGCGTCTTCCCGTTACTGCACTGGCCCCCAGCACCCTGCGAGGTCCCTAGGAGCCTGACTCGCCGGCCCAACCGGGAGCGGTGGCCACGCCTTGGAGCTGGGCCGACCACTGGCTTCAGCGGGGAACCTTCTGGGGCTCCCCCCCTGAGGACAGGGGGGACCCTGCCTCCTGCACGTGCTGAACTAGCTCGTCCCCCACCCCTCCGGGAGCTACGTCAGGACCGTTTCTCCCAAGAACCAGGTTCCAGTCTTCAGACCCCAGATGACCAGGAGAGAACGGTCACTGCAGAGCCACCTGGGACCCAAGCTCGGGCCTGCGATCGGTCTCCCAACACCCCTCGGTGCCTGGAGCCCTGGGCCACGTGGGCTCACTCCGAGGCTCGCTCGGCTCCCAGCTCTGGCCTGCCCTGACTGCTGCCCTGCTGCTTCGGAACTCGAAATTGTGCAGAGCGGGGCACCGCTGAGCACAAGCCGGGCGGCAGAGAATGCCAGAATGTTCAAACTCAACCCATCCAACGTCTTCGGGTGGGGAGGGGGTGACAAGGACGGGGAGAGGGAGATTCGCAGCCAGACTCCGACCCCTGACCCCAGTGGTGCAGAATGGCTGGCGATCGCACCCTGACCCAGTTGTGTACTGGAACTTGGAGACGTCAGTGAGGTAGGTGGTATCAGCCCCATTTTACAGGTGGGCAATCTGAGGCAGAATGAAATGCAACAGCTCGCTTTTAATAACAGCATACAAAATCTAGAGAAAGCCCCATAGTCCCTGTCCCGGAGCCCAGTGCAAACCCTGGAGCACAGAATGAGAACAGACGGAACAAGCCCCTCAATTCCTTTCCTGCCCCCCAAGGGGGCCTCTAATGCACAGCAGGATCCCTCAGGTATTTCCAGGGACTTCAGACCCAGCCACGAAGCAACAGAGACCGGCGACCGCTCCCAGGGGGCTGGCCAGGCCTCTCCTGCTGAGGGCTCGGCTTTGAGAAGGGCACGTGCGTCCTCACAGGCAGAGATCCTGGCTGGCACCAGGCCACAGGCAAGCCCGGGGCTCCTGTGCCACCCACACCTGACCATACCGGGCGCATAGAAGCCAATTCCCCTTCGCCTCAGTGCGTTGGTCTCAGAAATGGGACCAGCACACTCAGGCAAGGGAGGTAATCTCTAGAAAACCAGAGAGGAAACCCCAGCCCCTCCCGGCCCGAGGAGTATGAGCCTTCCTAGGAGCCTGCCAACCCCATCCACCCCACCCCTCCTGTCTGGCCCCGAGCCCTCCTCTGTCCTCAGTCCATGTTCTGGGCTCAGCCGCCGAGGCCTGGAGCGGGATGTCTCCGGGTGGAGGTGCGTGGGCGGTGCTCTTTGGCTGGAAGCGAAGGCCATTCTGGCGGGATCAGGGCCTGTCTGCTGAGCTCGAGGCCTTCCTGGAATCGGGTATGGGGGGACATGTTCCCGCCCAGGGCCACACCATCCAACAGCTGTGCTCCCATCTCCCCAGGGCGCCCCCTTTAGGACCACGCTAGGGAGGACAGACATGTCAGGACCAACGCGGACGCTGAGGTTCATTGGCACGGAACTGCAAAATCGTAAACGCTTCCTTAAGAGGTGCGGACAGTGGGCACGGGGGTGCCCCAGCTGGGCGGTCCCGCCTGCTGTCGAGCGGGACGAGCACCTGGGGTCGGTGGGTCTGGACACACTGGACGCTGCTGCTCCTTCGCTCTCTCGATGGCCTCCTGGCGTCTGTGGTTGTCTTTGGGTGCAGAGGGCTCTCCAGGGACGGGCTGGGGTGATGGGGGGTGGGCGCAGGGCAGGAGCAGAGCCAGCGGGGGAAGAAGAGGCACTTCAGTTTGGGCTGGTGTTCATGGAGTCGGCCCTGCCCAGGGGTGGAGTGGCCCGCCTGGCTCCGGCTCCGACTCCGGCTCCGGCGCTGGGCTGTCACAGAGACCCCGGTGGCGGTGGACAGGTAGGCACTTGGCAGTACTCCCAGGGCCGGGCCGGGGGCTCCGTGTGGGCTCCGCGCACGGCTAGGTCATCAGGATGGGCTTCTGCCGAACTTCCAGGATGTCTGGGGGGAGGTGAGGAAGGACAGGACAAGGAAGTCAGGACAAGGCCACGCCACACAATTCCCAGGATTCCCTCTTCCAGCCTCGCCGGCTGCAGTGCTGGAGGCCCCGTGTCACGGACAGGGACTCGGGGTGGAGCCAGCCCCGTCAGTGGGACAGGGCCGCCTCTCCCAGAGGCCCCGCAGCGAGTGTGAACAGGGGCCTGACTGGGAACGATGGGACGGGGTTGGTCACCCCTGAACTGGCCTCAGGAACCTGGGGCCCGGGAGTCAGGTTGGCTACAAAGCAGTGACGCCCGTTTTCCACAGCAGACGCTACCTGTTAAGATCCGATGCAGCGGCAAGGTGACGTAGGTTAAGTGTGCATAGAGAAGGAAGTTTCCATCCGCTCTGTTCAGCTTCAGCCAGGACCCGACCAGGGATCGCCCCGTGCCAGACAGGGACCGGGACCGCAGGTTGGTGGCGTTGTGCAGGTCAGCTGGAGGGCAGGAGGCTGGGTCAGGGGTGACTCCTTCCCGCCCCGCTGGGCCCTCTGCGGGCACTTTATTACCCTGACCTGCGACATCTGCCCCGCCTGCCCTCTGCCCACCCCATCCGTCAGGGCCGCACCCGCCCCTCCAAGCTCCCCCCACCCCTTCTCTGTCTGGTCTCCTCTGGGGGGTCATGCACCCCGCACACTGCCACTTCTCTGCTTCCCTGTGGCCCTGTCACCGGAACTAGGTGCCACCAGCCTGCAGGACCCGGGGCGAGGCTGGGATGACTCAGCATCGTCACCAGGGAGGCAGGTGGGTGGTTGTTCGTGCTTCCCTACGGGCGTGGGTCTGATCCGAGATGAGGGCACTGCCGAGCTCCCAGGGCGGTCAAGGCCAGTGCTGGAGTCTCTGGGTCTGGGGGGCGGGACCACTCAACACCAGCGCCCCAGCCCCCGTCCTGCCGTCCAGCCACTCGTCCAGCCGACACACCTGGCGTTCCTGCCCTGCCAGTGGGGCCGCTGGTCCGAGGGCCACGGTGCAGGACGCACTCGCACTTGCACTTGGGGCCTCACCAGCAGGGAGTTGAGCTGGAACCCCCCGGCTCCTGTTAGCCGGCCCCCCTCCTCCAGTCCATTCTCCACATGGACCGCGGAGTGGGATTCTGAATATTCCAATTGGACCTTGTCGATCCCTGGCTCACAGCCCTCCACTGGTTCCCCAGGCCCCTAGGCTCCATGACTGCCCCTCTGGCTGCACGATTACTGATGGCGGGACCGACACCACGAGGCACAGGTGTGCTGGGAGGGACTGCAACTGTGTGGGCCAGACCCAGGGCCTCTGCGCAGGCAGGCAGGAGGCTGCGGGGGCCGGAGAGCGGGAGGCCTGGACCCCTGCGGACCCCACTAGAGCCGGTGGGAACGTCTGGATACCGCCTGCAGTCACTGGGGCTGGCCTTGCCAAGGCATTAGGGGTGCGTTAAGGAAATGTCTGACCCATATCGCGGGCTAGTTTTCGTTTTCTGCAGGCTAACGCTTAAGTTGATGCATTTGCATGGCCCTCGAATGATGTTACAAATATCCACATGGCCCCGCCAGAAAAAAGGTTCCCCACCCGACTCTAGAGCAAGGCTGAGTGGCCAAAGACAGCGCAGGGGGTAAAACAGACCAAGTCACAAAATGCATGAACAAACCAGAGCCCACTCCCTCGCACGCACTTCCGGCCCCTGTGGGGACAATCAGACCATCGGCATCTGCAAGTGCACGGACCCTAACACTGCGACTGCGCTCGGCCCTCACGTTCTGAACAGTCTGTTCAGCGCCTCCCCCCCGGACAGGCACACTCTCTAAGAGGAATGAATGAATGAATGAATGAATGAATGAACCGAGAGGCATCAGGGGCCGGTCACCTGCACCATCATCCTCCCGGAAGAACTCCTCGCTGTCGTTGGCCGAGTGAGACTTCTTCATCTCGGCGATGCGGTTCCGGGGCACCTTCCTCTTGAGGGACGGGGAGAAGAAGGTGGGCCGGTTGTTCCGCTCCGGGGTGGGGGGCGTACTGAAGGAGGTCATCTGGGGACAAAGAGCCATAGTCACAGAGCGGCCGCCAACCAGCGGGGATCCCAAAGCCACTCACCTGCCCTCAAAGAACCCGACACAGAGCTCCCCCTGGGAGCACTGGCTGAGGAGGGGACTCGGCGGTGGCACCGAACCCACCCTGCTGCGGGCTACGTGGGCACTAGGACATGGTTTCAGCTCAGGGACCAGCAGGATGGCCTGGCCACCAGCTCTGCCCTCAAACACTGGCAGGGGCTGGGGTAAGTGCCAAGACTGGCTGCTAACGCTACTCAAGCACCTGCCACAGCACTGAACCCACAGAACTTCCACGAGACAGGACCCGGCACTAACCCCTCGGGCAAGTGAGGACACGAAGGTGGACAGCAACTTTAACTCGTCCAACGTGAACTTCCACATCATCCGGCAGGATGATGGCCAAACGGATTGCAACTCAGGTCTTCCACCCTTATTTCTTGGCTAACGTGTCCCCATCCCCATCCCCCCAGCATTCTTCCACACACTTGCTATGGCTGAGTGGTCCATGCTTCCGTCCCCTCCTCTCCTCTCTTCTAACCACACTGTTCAGTTCACCAAACATTCTCCACACCCGCTGGGGGCCCAGCGGACGCAGCACTAAGCACAGACAGGCACATGACACTGGTCCCTGCCCTCAAGGAGCTCACAGTCTGCTGGGGCAACAGACTCAAAGAGGAACAATAGACTGCACGTTGGTTGCTGAGACAGATAAAGAGAGGCACGGAATACAGGGGAGCACAGAGGCAAAAGCCCGAGAAAGCAGGGAAGGCTTCCTGGAGGAGATGCCGCTGGAGCCGGGTCTTGAAGGACGAGTAGGAGTTCGCCAGGTGAAGAAGGGGGGGAAGGGCGTTCCAGGCAGAGGGAACGTGGCCCCTCTCCTCCCTCCTCCCCATGCAAACAAGAATCTGAGGAACAAGATGAGCTGGGACCGAGACTTCCGGAGCCCCGTCAGCCTCTTCATCATGGCTCTGACGTCCACCAAAGTCCCGGCGGCCGCTGGCTCCAGGTGGTCCTCCCACAAGTCAGGGAAGGTTTTAAAAGATAAAAAACAAACACCAGAAACCACAATACACACAGAATCTGCATTTGTCATACGCTGGTTACAAATGACCCCCCTGGAAAAGGAGGGTAAGCAACAGTGAGCACAGAGGTGGCGGGGGCCTGGAAGGTCCCCAGGAGGTCAGGCCCTGCCACTCACAGCTGTGTGACCCTGGCAAGTCCCTCCCCTGACCCCAGGACCACCCTGCTAAGAGAGGCCCCTGCTTGGGATTCTCACCCCTCCTTACAAAAGTACCGTTTATTTTGTTCTGCTTATAAAACACATTCATTGCAGAAGATACACAACAAGGAAAGGTATAAAGACGCTAAAGAAAATGCCGTCTGGCCTCCTGGAGATACGCCTGGTTGTCATCATTGGACAGAATTAAAAGTACGGCAAACACCCTCCCGCACTCAGCACATAGCCCGTTATCCACATTCTTAAGAGTCACTTCCCAAGCGGGTCACCAGCAAAGTCACTACAGTGGCTGCTCCCTGGACACCTGCGGGCCGAGCCCTGTGCAGGCGCTTGGGGTGCAGCGGCTCCTCGGAGCCTCCCAACACTGCAGGGAGCCGTGTGTCACCCCATTTCTGGATGAGCGCACCGAGGCTCAGGGAGGGAGAGACTTGTCCCAGGTGGCGAGCAGCAGCGCCCCGACTGCAGCCCAGAGCCTCCCCCAGCCCCTCCTGGCGACGCGCTGAGCAGGGCTGCCTCCTGCCCACTGTGCTCACATGCCTGTCTCCTTCCAAGACCCCGGGAACCGCTCTGAGCAGCCCCGATACCCAAGCCGGCAGAGCGGCAGTGGGCTGGGGGGAGACTTCCCCTCCCTGAGCCCTGCTGAAGGCTGAGTACAGCCGCCGCCGACCTGGGTCCCCACCCCGGGGAAGGACGGTGGCCTGGAAATGGCAGGGCTGCAAGGCTGTGCTGTCACACCAGAGTCGTGCGACCCGGGGTTCCCAGGTCCGCGGACAGGAAAGCTCCCTCCTGCCCACGGGGTGCGGGGGCTGTGCAGCTGCTCACCTGGGAGACACCCGGCGGGCAAAGAGCAGAGCTGCTGCTCAGGGAACAGGACGGAGGCCAGCGCCTCACGGTCCCCGTCTCTCTCACAGGGAAGGCCTGTCACCCGCCTGTGCTCGCCCAGCAGCTCCACCGAGGCAGGCGCCAGCGCAAGGTAAACTCAGCCTGGCTGCACGGACAGCTCGGGGGCGCAGAAAGGGCTCTGGCCCGGGCACTAACCTGCTGTGTGACCCTGGGCAAGTGACTTGCTCTCTCTGAACCTCGGCCTCCTCACCAGAGAGTGGGGACAATACCTACCTCCCCTGGGGCTGTAAGGATCAGGGAGACGGTGGGAAGCAGAATCAAGGGACAGGAAGCCCTGCCCGAGGGGGCAGCCCTTACCCGCTCGTGCATGGGCGAAGCCGGGCTGGAGTCCTCTTCAGTCCCGCAGGGGGACGTGTCACCAGTGGACACACGGCTGACGGCCATCTCCGCGTGGCCCTTGCCCTGGGGCCCCTTCATGCGCACGAACTCCATGTTGTTGTACTTGTAGAAGCCAAATGACATCTTCTGCGCCATGCGGGCGGCCACGCTCACCTGTGGGCAGGTGGGAAAAGGCTGAGCCAGGCTGGCGGGCGGACAGTCACCCTCCCGGAGCAGGCCGCCAGCAGGCAGGGCAGTGCTGAACACGTGGGGTCCCCGGCTGACATCCCCCTCACTGCCGGTGACCCTACGCCCAGCAGGCCCAGGGCCCGGCTGGGAACAGAGCTGCAGCCCCAGAACCCGAGCCCGTCCCCACCCCCCACCAGCACAACCCCCAGGTTCCCAGGAGGCGAGCCTCAGGGTGGCGCCCAGCTCGGGTGAGAGCCTCCACCTGGCTCCTGTCCCTCAGGTGAGTCAGGGCCGGCCCTGGGGGTGTCCTGCTGGGATGGCCTGGGAAGGTCACACAGCGCTGGCCCTGAGCCACCTTAGTGGCCTGGGTGCGCAGCTACTCTGAGGAGGGCGGCACGGAGGGGCTGGGCCCGGGCCGCCCGCGCTCACCCGGTTGTCGTACACCTTCTTGAGCGCCTCGTAGCGGATGGAGCCCTGGAAGATGACCCCTTGGAACATGTTGGTTTTGTCACTGGCCACCAGCTCCACACAGACCATCTCTCCTTCCCCCACAGTCATGTCGCTGAACACCTGGGGTGGGAGCAAGCGGGGAGAAGACGTCAACTGTCAGCTGCTCACCACCCACCCCTCACTCGCCCCGAAAACTCCCATTTAGCAGATGAGAACACTGAGGCACAGATGAGAAACCGGTGGTCACCCAGCTCTGCCACCCTCCGCCGACCCAGCGCAGCCTAACTGCGGGGCAGGGGCAGCGTCCAGCAGAGGGCGCTTGTGCCTGTGACTCTGGGAGGGAAGGGGAAGGACTCCTGGCCCTCATCACACCTCCAGGCTAAGAAGTTAGGCAGTTAGAGGACTGTCCGGCCCAGGATCCAGGGTCTCCCCGCTACGGCCATGGGGGACCAGCCCCTCCCTGAACTTCTCAGCTTGTATGCAGGCACAGAGTGACCCCGAGTTTCGGGCCACACAGACTCGGGTTCAAATCTCAGCTCCTTGGATGAACGAGTTGTGTGAGCCTCCAGGGGCACTTAGCCTCCTGAGCCTAAGGTGCTTCAAGACACCATCAAGCTCTGGCTGGTGTGGCTCAATGGATAGAGCGTCGGCCTGCACACTCAAGGGTCGTAGGTCTGATTCCCGGTCAAGGGCACCTGCGGGAAGCAACCAATTTAAGTGTCTCTCTCACATCGATTTTTTTCTCTTTCTCTCTCCCCTTTCCTCCCTCCGTTCTACTCTATCTCAAAAAAAAAAAAGATACAATCAAATCCAGGAGACCCTGGAAGCCACCCCCCCTCAGAGGCCTCCGAGGGTGGGGCGGGGGGAGGCGGGGGAGACTGGCTGGGCAGGTGCTGTTTCGGTCAGGAGTGGGACACAGCCTGGTTCTTCCCAGCACCTGCTTCCCTGGGCGAGTCACCCTTTGCCCAACCTTAAAACAAACGCGTGGCTGGATGACTCCCAAAGCCCTGCCCCTGACCCCCAGGGTCCCAGGCTGGAGCAGGCGGGGTGGAGGCGCTTGTTTAGAGTTTTGTGGTGATACTAACGACCCTCCTGCAGGCAGCACTGCCGAGGCCTTTAGTGCGGTCTCCCATGAAGGCGCCCCTTTGACCTCCGACCCTGAGGGTAAGTAGGACAGATGAGCACGATTTTACAGGTGGGAGAACTGAGGCTCCAAGCTGGGGGCACCCTTGCTCCTCGCCCAACACCAGGAAGAGTGGGGGCCATGTTGGTAGGAGTGCAGACCCATCTGCTTCTAGCCCTTCCCGCCCTCCACCGCCTTTCTGCAAGGGGGTGAGGCCGGAGGGAGCGCTGATGGAGACACACCCACCTCCTCGAAGCTGTCGATCATGAAGAAGATGTTGGGGTAGCTGATCTTAGACTCCTCCCCTTTGCTGTCCATGGGGTGTTTACTGGGGGACGCAAACACTTGCTGAAAGAAAGGAGATTTACGGACGCAGTGAGGCCCACCCTGCACCCAGGTGGAGCGTGTTGTCTAAAACACACATCTCAGAACCAACCCAGGGCAGGCAGGGGCTGCGATTCCCGGGCGGAGCTGGCAGCTGGGAGGCCTGGGGCTCTCGGCCGGTGGCTCACCTGGGATTTCTTCTTATGGATGTGGATGTCGCCCCCCTCAGAGCGCGTGCACACGGCACATGTCACCATGTAGTCCAGCTGGAAGAGAGCAGGAGGGGGTGCGTGGAGGGCTTGGCTGTCCCTCGGTGCCCACCCACTGCCCTGCTGCTGGAGCCCCGCCCCGCCGGCCCTTACCTTCTGGAGGATGAGGTTCAGGCAGACGCTCTCCTCCCAGTCAATGTCAGGGTCCCCCAAGCCTGGCAGCTTCTTGGAGTCCCGCCGGTACACCTCCACCTCCACCTCCACCTCGGGCTCGGCCTCCGCCAGCTGCGAGCACAGGTAGGAAGGGAGTTGGTGCTTTCTCCCCGGCCACTGCCCGGGGCAGGTGTCAGCACACAGATCCCAGCCTTGCCCTCAGCCTCTGCTGAGATCCTGAGTTCATCAGGAGCTGAGCCTCCCAGGCTGTCACCCTTTCAGAGGGCCTGCCCGAGGGCGGGGATCCCAGCATCCTGTTCCACCCACTCTCTGCTCCCCAGCCCACAAGCAGCAGCCCATCGGCCCGCCCACCCTCCCCCACTAGCGCAGGCAGCCCGCAGGTTGCTATGGCGACTGTCTACTCTGCAGGCTGCAGGATGGAAGGGGGCGGAAGCAGCCTGGGCTTGCCGCAGAGCACAAGCAGTGCGCAGGCGCCCCAGAGAGCCCGCACTGCACCTGCCAAGGGCTTGTCTTTCCATTTTGAATGGTGGGGGCAGGAAGCCACCTGGGAAGCTGCCCATCCAGGTTTTAGAATGGTGGGGGCCAGGGAACTCTCCTTGGGAAGTCTGTCTATCCAGGTTTCCCCCACTCCCCTCCCGGCCGCCCCTGCACCCCCAGGGCCAATGGGGCCTCCCTCAAATCATCGCCGCCCACCCCCTGCCCTCCAAACACCAAGCCAGACGCGGCAGGGCCCACCCCTCCCGCTTCGCACGTGCCGGTCCCTCCACACAGGTCCTCAGCTCACTGCTGTCCCCTCTGTCCTACAACACTCAGCTGAGGTCACCTCCTCTTTGTGGGCCCCCACCCACTCCCCATCTTCCCACCATCGCAGCTCTGTGTCACTGGCTACGCCCTATCCCAGCAGACTGGGGGTCCCCAAGGCCAGGGCCAGGGCCAGGTCTGATTCATTTCTGTACACAGCTCTCTGTGCGTAGTCCATGGAACATTCTAGCACATGAACAGCTGGACACATGCTCCCATGGACTCAGGCTCCCTCACCGACCTCAACACCCCCCGATGTTCAGGAGCGTTTACACAGGGCTCTGCTCCCTCCTCCACATTCCCCCGCCCTGGACCAGGAGCCTCTCTCCTGCCAGGTGAGAGCCGTCTCTCCTCTGGCCACTCACTCCCCTCTGGCCTCTCCCCGCCTGCCCTCCTGCAGGGAGAATCTAGGCCAGGGGTCCTCAAACTGCCGGGGAGAGGTCAATGGGGGAAAAAGGAGACTTAAGTAATACTTTAAACAATAAAGAATTTAAAGTAAAAAAGATAATAATAATAAAAATTAATGAGATATACAAAACCGAGAAAGCGGAAAACCTGAATGCTAATCTTAGCTTTGCCGCTAATTCAGTTCTTTCATGTGTAAAATGGGGACCTAAGCGATTGGATTGCAAAGGCCCATCACCTGGGCCTGACTCTGTCCTCTCACAGGTTAGTCCAGTGGTTGGCAAACTGCGGCTCGCGAGCCACATGCGGCTCTTTGGCCCCTTGAGTGTGGCCACGAAGTTTCAATCGCACTGTACATGCGCGCCCGCACGTGGTATTTTGTGGAAGAGCCACACTCAAGGGGCCGCAGTTTGCCAACCACTGGGTTAGTCTATCTCCCAAGGCCCCTTCCAGCTCCAGTAACTAGTAGAATTCTAGTGGTGACGTACGCATGAGGGAACTGGGCGTCATCTCGCCATGCAATTTTGGAAACTTTAATCTCTGTTTGGGAACTGGACATTATTCAAGAGCCACAGGCCATATTATAATATTAAATGACCCCCACACACACATACACAACAACACCCTCCCTCACCAGAGCTGAGGCCGCGCCCCGCACTGAAATTCCAGAAACAGCTGGGAGTGCCTCAGGCCCCGACCTTAGTCTGCTGCAGCAGACTGCCTTTGGGAGAGACCCTGTCTACAATCTCTACAATCACTCCAGCAGAGGCCTACGGGCCAGAGGGCGATCCCCCCCCCCCCCATCTCTCTAGCCAATCGCTCGCTGTCTCCTCTGCTCCCTCCAGCATCAGGCTACCTCAGGGCTGTCCTAGGCCTCCTGTCTCCCTCCTCTTCCCACGGGCTCCCGGGGCCCAAATCTCTACCTCTGTCCTCGACCCCCTAGCAGAGTTTCAGACAGGCGATCCACCGCCTGGAAGACATCCCACAGGCACCTCCGACCGACTCAGCCCGTCCGACACTCACTCCCCTCCTGCTGTGAGGGCACCAGACTCCCCTGCCCCAGTTCAGTCACCTGAGGCCCTGCTGGGTGAAGCCCACGTCCTGGGCACCGGCTGACACCCTCTGCGCGGCTCCTCTCCCTGGTGCAGCCCCACCAGCACCCTCCCAGGCAGCCCTGCCTCTGCTCCGACCCTCTCCAGCCCACCCGCCGCCGAGCACTTGCTGAACGGACCTCTGACCGCATCCCCTTCCTCAGTTTAGGCTCCAGGGGTGTCCCAGGGCTTTGGAGAAAACGCCTCAACTCCTGGGCGTGACTTCCGCATCCCTGTGGTGCGGCCCCTGCCTCCCAGGTGTCCTGCGTCCCTCTCCTTCAGCGCAGCTGCACAGACACAGCGAAGCCCAGACGCACGGGATTTTACGCACTGTCAGGCCCACCACTGCGCTGCTGGGAACACCTTTCCCTTCAGGACTCATCTCACCAGGGGCTCGGCTCCCATTCCTTCTGGTCACTAAATATGCCAACCCTGGGACTGTGCTCGGTCCCAGCCACGACAGTCCCACAGCCAGCTGCCTGCACAGCAGCCGAATGCCAGGGACCCAGGCCAACCCCAGGGTGTGGCTCTGTCCCCCCACATGTCACGATGCCCAGCCAGACCAGCTGTACTGCCACCGGCATGCAGAGGGCCAGCACGGCAGGAAGTCACTGTGTCTCTTTGCCGGGGATGCCAGGCCAGTTCATTTGCAGAAAACCTATTCTGCATGTGTCAGGCCCCAAGAGCAGGCACACGGCAGGGCGAGGCCTTCAGGGGCTCGAAGTCGTCCCCCCTCCCCCCGCCCCGCTAACAGGCCTGGCCCGCAGGGGTCAGGGCCCCGGACCCGGAGCCAGGCAGGCTGCACAGTCCCAGCTGCCTCCACAACCCTCCCATGTCTGTATTTAAAAGAAAGCCATGCATTGCCATGCCTGGCACACAGGTTGCTTAAACATTTTAAAACGAAAGCTTCTGAAAAAAGAGCAGGAAACATGCAGTTTGTTGCATGAACTCGTCCACACACTTAAATGCAGTGGGTGAGAAGCCGTGGGCGAGTCCGCATCTGAGTGCTCGCCTTCCTCATCTGTAACGGGGAGAGGAGCACCTGCCCCGTCGAGGTGCCGCGAGGACATGAGATCAGGAAGTGGAGAGCCCACATTGGGTGGCCCGTGGTCTGGGGCCTAAGCTTTGCTCTACCATTTATTTACTAGTTATGAGAGGCTGCCCGAACCACCTCTCCTCTGAACCTCAGTTTGCTCAAAGGTACAATAATAACACTGCTGCCTTTCAGGATCACGGTGCAGGTTAATAATAATGTGCACCACCCCCAGCACATCCCACCCCCAGCAAGCATGTGTGACTGCCTCCCCACGGCTCCCGGCACATAGTAGGTGCTCAGTGAACCTCGTTTCCCCCTTGGACATGCACGGAAGGGACTGCAAGGGAGGCCGCCTCGCTCGCCAAGAGCAGGCTCTGCAGGGACCCTCAGCCGGGCTGGAGGAGGTCACGCACCTTCCTCCCGTCGACACCGCTCTCGGTGCCCGAGAACGCCAGCTTCCGGCGCACGTAGAAGAGCATATCGTCCTGCCGTGGCGCCCATTTCTCCATGAAGTAGGTGGAGAACATCCAGGTCCAGAAGGCGATGCGGTCATCCTTCAAGCACCCTGCAGGGGAGGCCAGACAGCAGTGAGAAGGACCGTCAGCCTGGCCCTCGCCATGTGACCTTGGCCCAGCCTGTCCCCCTACACCCCCACTCCCAGCCCCAACCTGCATTTCTGGACAGAAACCTGCCAGGGCTCTGTGCTGTCCAGAGCCCCCTCCTCCCACCCCACCCCCACCAAGGGGCAGCCAGAGAGGCTCAGGGGCACCTCCCTGGAGGCCCGACTCTCCACCCAGAGGGGCCCAAAGGCCCAGCTCCCAGCCCCACAGCTGCACGAGCTCCAGCCCGAGGATGAATCAGCAGCTTCTGGGGAAAGGAAAGACCTAAGGAGGGACGTCACAGGCTGTCGGGCTGGGGCTGGAGCAGGAAGGGCTCTGCAGGGGAGACCAGTCGTCATCAGACAAGCACCACCCTCAGCCCACACCCCCACCCTCACCCCAGGCTGCGGCAATCCCCAGAGAATTCGACTTAAAGGAACAGCTGCCCCTTTGCCAACGAGTCTCAGCTGTGGGCAGAAAGCAGCGAAGACGGGCACAGCCCCTCACCCCTGCGCTGCGGGGCCTTTCAGCAGCGAGGTTTACTCTTGCTTGGTCTTCAGGGGGGCTCTGCTCCTTTGACAAGTAGCATTTCTTTAAGGTAATACAGCTATCGTAATGCCTTCGGCACAAGGGGAAAAGCCCGGCTCTCGTAGGGTGGGAAAGCCGGGCTTCCACGCACTCCCACCTGCTGTGACAGCAGGCCAGCAGCGTGGCTCTCTGATGCCCCGGCCCCTTGTGGTGAGTGTGGGCTGACGGAGCCATGGGCATGAAGGCCCGTGCCTGGCACAGAGAGGATCAGCAAGCTGGGCGTCCTGCCTTTCTAGGCAGATGCAGGGAGACTGCAGGATCCGCTCCAGAGCTGCTGCGTATACCCTCAGGGCATCCCTCGTTGCTGGTTCCTTTCCCTCTGCCCCAGAAGAACCGGTACCATTGGGACCTCGGGCTCCTAGTCGGTGCAGGAAGGGCCTGACCTAACCCTACACGTAGAGACAGGGAACCAAGCCCTCGCCCTCACGGGCAGTTCAGTGGCCCGACCAGGACTGCCAGGTGCCCTGCCTCACAGCGCAAGCCCCCTAGGCCTGGGGGTCAGCCATCAGGCTCTGGAAGGCTGAGTCACATGCAGAAACCCCGGCCTTGGTTTACTTCTGCCACAGCGCTGCCAGCGAACCAGGCTCCAACCAGCTCCCGACCCCTCCCTCTGCTCTCACAGCCTGGCTCCAGGGAGGAAACAGAGGGGTCTTCTCCAGCAGGGTCTAGGTCAGCCTGATCCACATAAACGCAGCAGAGGAGGGGGGAGGCGGGGAGGAGGGAAGCGGAGCCTGTAGGACTGACAGCCTCTCCAGGCTCCCAGGCACCAGGGGGAACCAGGCAGGCTGTCTGCACCACGGATCTGAAATTCCTGCCACACTTTCACAACAGGCAATGCCCAACTCACGCCACTACAGACCCCCTACAAAATTAAGCAAATGTGCTGTGCTTATCTATATATATAAAAGACTAATATGCAAAGCGTCCCCTCGGGAGATCGACCAGGGCACCAGGAGTTCCATCGCTCGCTATCGTGTGTGCTGACCACCAAGGGGCCATGCGGAACAAAGGAAGGCCCCGGCAGGCAGCCAGAGGCCCCGATCGGCCCTGATCGCCGGCCAGGCCTAGGGACCCTACCCATACACGAATTTGTGCACCGGACCTCTAGTTCCTGAATAAAACCTGAACTCCTGCCTGGCGGGCATGGCTCAGTGGTCAAGCATCGACCCATGGACCAGGAGGTCATGTTTCGATTCCCGATCAGGGCACATGCCTGGGTTGCAGGCTCAATCCTCAGTAGGGGGCCTGCAGGAAGCAGCCGATCAATTATTCTTATCACTGATGTTTCTATCTCTCTCTCTCTCTCCCTCTCTCTTCCTCTCTGAAATCAATATATATATACACACACATATATACACACACACATACATACATACTAGGGGCCCAGTGCACGAATTCGTGCACCTTGAAAGGAACTGTGGGCCACAAGGCTGTGGTGGGCACAGGGGCAGGTCTCGGCCCATCCTCCATGGCCCCGCCCAGCCCCTTCTGCTACGGCCCCCGGTCCCTTCTGCTGGCAGCCCCGCTCCTGCTGCTGCCACTCCCACGACACTGATGGTGACAGCTCTGCTCACACCTGCTGATGGTGCAAGCAGGGGGAGGTGGAGAAGCCCTCAGGGGCGATTGGGGCTGCAGCCACCGCTCGCACCCACTGATGGCGCTGAGCGATCAGGACCGGCACTGGGCGTGAGCGGCGGCTCCGGAGCCAGCTGTGGGTACGCGTGGCATCTCTGGTGCCCGCAGTGGGTACAAGAGGCGACTCCAGCGCTGGCAGTGGGTGTGAGAGGCGGTTGCCGGCCCCAATCACCCCTCAGGAGCAGGGGCTGGTGGAGAAGCCCGAGGGGCGATTGGGGCCGGCAGCCACTGCTGGCACCTGCTGATGGCGCCGAGCGATTGGGGCCAGTGCTGGGCACTGGTAGTGGGTGCGAGCGGCGGTTCTGGTAGTGGGTGCGAGCAGGGCTGGTGCCGGCAGCAGGTGCAGGCACCAGGCAGGACCATGGCACGTGGGAGCAAAGAATTTTCAGTAACCACCAGAGGCTCGCCCCGAATACAGCGACCAGTGCCCTGCCATGGTCTGGCGCCCCTGCTCACCTGCTCTACCATCCCACCGTGGTCTACGCTTGCCATGTTCAGCGCTCTTCCCCCTGCTGCCAATACCCGCCATGTTCTGCAAGCGCCCCCTGGTGGTCAGCGCATGTCATAGCAACCGGTTGTTCCATCGTTTGGTCTATTTGCATATTAGGGTTTTATATATATAGATAGAGATATAAAAAGAGAAAGGACTGCTAGAGCAGCCACCAGGAGGGGCCGTGGGTGCCACACCAGAGCCACAGGGGGACCAGACAATGCTGACCATCTCCACACCCAAGACACTCAAAGTATAAAAGCAAGAAGAGCTGTGTGGCTCAGTTAGTTGAGCCTCGTCCCATGCACCAAAAGGTTGCCAGTTCAATTCCCAGTCAGGGTGCATGCCCAGGTTGCAGGTTCCATCCCCAGTCGGGAGAGTGTAGGAGGCAGCCAATTGGTGTTTTTCTCTTTCTTTCTCTCCCTTCCTCTCTCTCTCTCAAATTAATAAAAACAGATTTTTTTAAAAAATGCAAAAAGATACAGCACAAACATTAAGAGCTGCCCTCCTGAACATTCAAAGCTCCCTTCATGCCCAAGAAAGCAAAAGGAACAAGAAAACCGGGAGGGAAATCCTAACACGTGAGCAAGGACCGTAATAGAGAGAGTTCGCACCATAGCAGTTATGAAAGAAAGTGCGTAAGACTCCGATAGATAAATGTGTAAAATACCCAAACAGGTAACAGACCAAAAGGGAAATATAAGTGCTTAGCCAAAATGTGGGAAAATATTGATCTCGCAAGTAGTCAAAATTTCATATTAAAAGAACAAGTTGTCATTTTAAGAGGGTATATTTGGTAGTATGTATTTATTTTTAATTTTTAAAAAATATTTTTTTATTGATTTCGGAGAGGAAGGGGGCGGGGGGACAGAAACATCAATGATGAGAGAGAATCATGGATCAGCTGCCTCCTGCATGCCCCACACTGGAGATCGAGCCCACAACCTGGGCATGTGCCCTGACCAGGAATCGAATCGTGACCTCCTGGTTCACAGGTTGATGCGCAACCATTGAGCCATGCCAGCTGAGCCAAATTTGGTGGTATTAAAAAAATAAAACTTAGGAAAATGGGCAGATTCTTACAAGCTAACCATATTTACCAACAATTTGCCCACTGCTAGGTACTTACCCCAAAGAAATGAAGCCTGTGCCTACCACACACAGGTACCCACATGTTCCTGAAAGCTTTATTCATAACAGCCCCAAACTGGGATCCAGGAGGATGGACACACGAAACATGACACAGCCACTCAAGGGACAATCACGGGCAATAAAAGCAAACCACTGACCAACCACACAACAGGTAAGTCTCACACTCGTCCTGCTGAGCGAGGGGAGTCACACAAAAGGCTGCACCCTGTAAGGTCACAGTCACGTGATGGTTCAGCAAAGACAAAACTATAGTGATAAAAGCAATGGCAGTTTCTGGTTGTGGTGGTGGCTTCACAGGTTCACGCAGCCATCAAACTGTTCCCTTTCAGGAGGATGTCATTTATCTTACATAAACTAGACTCTAATACAGGAGTGGGCAAACTTTTTGACTCGAGGGCCACAATGGGTTCTTAAACTGGACCGGAGGGCCGGAACAAAAGCATGGATGGAGTGTTTGTGTGAACTAATATAAATTCAAAGTAAACATCATTACATAAAAGGGTACGGTCTTTTTTTTTTTTTTTTTTTTAGTTTTATTCATTTCAAATGGGCCGGATCCGGCCCGCGGGCCGTAGTTTGCCCACGGCTGCTCTAATATAAAGTGGGTAAAACACTGTAATTATGGAAGCTGGCAAGGGTGCACTGAGCTGGGGACTCTCGTATGTACAAGAAAACAAAAATCATTATAGTCTTTGTGAAAATCAAATGAGCATTCTCCTATTTCTAGGACTCTGCATTATAGAACAGAAATAAAACAGACAAAAATAAAGCCTCATGCACAACGACATTTCCTGCGTTGTAATGACAGCACCGCGAGGTGGGTTCCGCTGGGGGTTCTGGGGACCTTCTGCCTGCTCCTTTCCATGTCTCTGTCGGGGGTGTGGCTTGCTCAGACGAGGTCACTGGATCCCAAACTTCCCAATGTCGCGTGGTGCAGTAACTGTGTGTGAATAAACACACGAGGGGTGACTGGACCCTGGGTGGCCTGTGAAATCAGTGCTGTCTCTCTCCCACAGGTAAACCCTAGACCCCGGATCCTTCTCCAAGGCCTGGCCAGCAAAAAGTCCCCTGGGTGTCAGCCCTGGGAGCTGCCTTGCCAGC